TATCTTTTTCTCAACTCCGAATTTTCTTCCAAAATTTCATCAAATAAATACATAGACTTCCCGTTTTTATATATTTTGAAACATCCATTATAAAACAATAATTTCTCATGAAACGATTGATATTTCTTTTAATTTTTCTTTTTCAATTCTTCATTTCTCAATTCTCAAAACTCTCAAATAAACCATTAACTCTAATAAAAGTAACTATAATTAATGATTACGTTTCCATCTGTTCGATTTTTTCCTCCATTTCAAATACTTTTGTAATTGATTGAATTCGTTCTCTTCAAAAAATTCGGATGTCCATTTTCCATCAAGAAATCGTTATTCTTAAATGATAAAAAAAAACTATATTTAATGATAAATTAATTATATATTAATGGTACCCGGGGCTTTGAAAACAAAAATTCAAATATCCAGAAAACTGAGCGATGGCGACGCCGTCAGCCTTCTCTTCCCGATTCAGTCGGACTAAGCAAAGCAGTTTGAACTTTCCTTCACGACCGTTTTTCTTAGAAAGTAGTGCGGAGTCATTGATCCCGTCATTGAGCGAAATCGTGTTAAATTCATTTGAGCGATTTCAATCCAATTTTTCGATGAATCAGTCGCACGCCCCTATCACTCTTCCCCCCGTTTTAGCGACAAAACTTGTGAAGAAAGTCTCGAACAACCCAAAAGCTACGGAGCAAGATTTGAACCTCATTTTATATCGGATATTTGTGGGTGGGACGCGTCTTATTTCTGTCGATATAAATGGCACGCATTTATTGACCAAAGTGACGTGTTTAAACATGTTTCAGTTATGTCAAAATGTTCACATCAGTACGCTTGATATATCGAATGCGAACTGTTCCTCATCTGAGTCATTAAGTGTGATGTTATCGAGTCTCAAATATTTGAAATTTTTAAATGCGGACTCTTGTGTAGCCTTTGATGACAAATGTCTTCAAACCCTAGCGACTATTAAGGCTCCCATCGAAGTACTTTCCCTCTCCAATTGTCCCAAAATCACAGACGCTGGAATTCTCTTTTTAAATTCATATTCAAATCTGCAGAGTTTCAAAGGAAACAATTTACGACTGACTTCCTCGTCTTTTTGTGTGTTAAAAAACTTGAAGGAATTGGAGCTCTTTGGCTGCCAAAACCTCGACGACTTCTCCTTAGAAAAAATTTCTATGCAAAACCCTAATTTACTCTTTGTCTCCTTAGGCAATGCCCGGATATCGGACTTTGCTCTGCAGAAGTTCGTTCAGCGGTTAAATCCGAATTTGGAGCATTTGAATCTTTCGGGGTGTTCACAGGCATCGAATCTGACATTAGCCCAACTCTTCGACTCTCAATTTTCACTCAAATATTTGAACCTTTCGGGGTGCTTTAATTTGAACGGAGAGAAGATCTTAGAGACGTACCACCCGATGTTCCGTGGCACACTATTTAGATGGATGGAGAACTTGCGTTATTTGAACTTGTCTGCGTGCATTCAATTTTCTAACGAATTCATTGGGACCATTTTAACAGCAACTCCACAAGTTACTACTCTCATCTTGGACGACACTTTTGTCGCAGACAATTCTTTAGAAGATTTTGTTAATGCGACAATTCTCTTCAATGAAACTATTAGAAGAAGTCTCCACACCCCAGGAGCCAAAATTAAACCGTTTTCAATCTCTCTCAAAAGATGCACGAAAATCACTGATCGCGCCTTCGGCGCGTTATTTAAAGAAAGAGGAAACGACTTGACGTCTTTGAACATCTCCAATTCGGTCTCCCTCTCCCCACTCTCCTTAGCTATTTTGTCTCTCAACTCAAACTCTTTGACTGCTTTCTATGCAAGTAACAACGACTTCATTCCTGAGATCTCGTGGGTCAAATTCGTCGCTAATTGTAAATACCTTAAGACTGTCTTTGTCTCAAATAACAGAGGAATCACTAACACAGTCTTATCCCAAATTGCTATCTCATGTCCACAAATATCTAATTTGGACATCTCGTCCTGTGTATGTCTCAATGAGTACTCCGCAGGGATCATCGCTCAGATGCGAAGTTTGCAGTACCTGGACATCTCCTTTGATAGTACCATTGGCGAGAACGGCATAAGGAAAATCGCAAATTACTTGTTACGGCTGAATTACTTCGCTCTCCAAGGCATTTGCATTAACGACGGATATATCTTCATTGAACAAGCTGAGTTCTTGAACACTTTGAAACTCAACTTCTCGCAGAACTGTTCAGACGATTTACTTAGAAATATCGCAGCGTACTGCCCGTTCTTGTCAAATATCGAACTCAGAATGTGCACGCAAATCACTGACAACGGTGTCGACTTATTACTCCAGAAGTGCAATAAAATTGGAAATATTACTCTAGGGGGAACGTCGGTATCCAAATTAAAAATGATACAGCTAGTAAATATGGGACTCTTTGTAGCATAATAATTGGATGAACTAAATAATGGTCTAAATAGTAATTATCACAGTAAAAGGATTACATTGTATGAAATTCAACATCGAAATTCAGTCAAATAAATTTTGTTTTTTCATATTATTGTTGTTATTTTTTGTACGGAAATAGATTTCTCGTTATTAACCGACATATCAATCAACTAATAATTTTAATAGTAAAAATAAAGTTTGAATAAAATATTTGTTGATGTTGATCTTCTTCATGGTATTAAAAATGTTGCCAATTTTAATAAGGTTATCATTCAATTTTATTAAAGTTCTTATTGAATGGGTATAAATGTAAATAATCGTATGACACATAATATTTTACAATAACCAATTTATTTCCAATAAAAATTCATCAATTCATCATTAAACAATACACTGTTAGTAATGTTAATTTAAAAAATTCAAATAATAAAAATATGAATGTTGATATTCTAAGATTTTTAGATGTAATTTGACAAGGTGTTGAATGTTAAATTGAATAAAGAATAAAAAACAAACAATAAAAACAATTCAGCTTATTCTAATGTATTTCATATTGCACTTAAAATTAACTCTTACCAACTTCATGTACCATTGACAACCAGACTCCATAATGTCATCAAATGTATAATTCTTTTGTTTTTCTGAAGACTTTTCATTGACATTTTTAATACAAAGAATGCCATTTGTGTTGTCTATCACTACTTCAAATCCATTCTTTTTTAAAAGATCAATCACATAACAATCCCTGTAAATCATCGAATCATTTTCATTAAATATCTTCTTTAAAGAGCCTCGCTTCTGTATGCCAACAACTCTAATTTCAAATGGAGATTTTTTCTTGTTGTCTATATAAATTGAATACCCACACATTCCAAGTAAAGTTACCATAAAAGACCGTACACACATATCATGATAAAACCGGTCATTCTCATCATTCTCTTCTTTAACAAATGATGGCAATTGAGTGTTCTTTTCGTTTGTCATTATTTTTTGTTTAACCAGATGATTATTAAAAATGATGTTTTTTATTTTGAATTTCTTTGTTTGTTCCAAGTTTATTTAAGGAAAAAATATATGGAAAGGAACAAATAAAAATAAATATTTGTCAAGTTAAATAGTATTATATATATAAACAGACTAAATTAATGCGCGACTTATCAATTATGAAAATGCATTTAAAAATATTAACAAAAATGACATTTTTAAAGTTTTAAACTGAATTATGTCAAAATTAGTTTACTTAAAATTGCCATTTAAACTTCAAATAATAGTTTTCAAATATAATCACCTAAAATTACAATTTTTATTTCAATAAAAGCTCCCAAGAGCAGTACTTCTGAAGAGCGGGTTCTCTCAAGAACGGATTTTTTAGACTAAAACTAAAAATGGAGTTCTCTATCGAGCGGTAATTGAGGTTTGATTGGCTAAAAATGCCCGCTTTTGAGAGAACAAAATTCCCACATTTTCCCACTCTTGGGAGGTTTTACTGTATTTATTTCAAACATTTAAAGTTTAAAGAAACAAAATTAACCTTTATTTGGCTGTTACATTTTGGAATTGAATTGTTATATATAAGTGCACTAACAATAAGCTCGAACAATATAATAGCGATTTTATTTTTTGTCCAATCATTTGAAACATTTGAGTGGTCAGACTAAATAATCAACAATTTACAAAAGTTTAAATTCAGAACAGAACATTAAATTCTTGATAGTTGGAACACAAATAGACCTCGAAGACACACAAATTGTTCCAAGATCATTAGCAGAAGAACTCACTAAAAAAACAATTGTAAGTATGTTGAAACTGGAAGACAAGTGGATTAGTAAACCAATTCACTGACTGGATATATATTGTATATAAATCTGGATGGTAAAATTCCAAAAAGTAAAATCGTTCAAACGAATAACCAAGTCATAAAATAAATGTTTAACTGTGTGATTTTATTGTTTTTATTTGTTTTTTATTAGTTGTGGTATTTATAATATTTTTTATTATAATTTGCGATGTATTTAACACTTATTATTGTTGTATCGCAAGTAAAATGATTTTAGTTTATAATATATATTAAATTAGATGAATTTGTAGTAATTTAAATATTAACAATGACTATTAGTTATTTTTACAAGAGATTAATAACATTCAAAAGTTAAGATATGAACTATCTTAAAACAACATACTTAATTAATATTATTATATTACAAATTATTATAATAATAACATTATAACATCAATTAAATAGTTAATATAAATATTAAGTAATTAATCAAATGTAAAAATAAATAACCAGAAAGTGTGTTTGTTGTAATTATTATTCTTTGATTTTTGAAAGAGTCAACAAATTATAAAATCAGTGTTTATTTTTGACAAATCAATAAGCTAAGTTAGACCATTTTTCTTTTCTATCATCTTTGATTTTTCTTTTGTTTTCATTTCCCAAAAACACAATTAAATTAAAAATAAACTATAATATAACAATTTTATATAACTAAAAAAATATAATTAAACACATTTGAAACAAACAAAAAAGAAGGAAAAATAAAAACAACATGAATTATTTTTTAATCAAATCCCATATTCCCTTTAAATATTTAATTAGACTTATAACAATTGTTGTATAATGTTTTATTAATTTATATAATAAAATTGAAACAAAAACACTTATCCTATTTTTCAATTATATGGAAGTTCTTTTTAATTGTTTTATTATATAATTGGAAAAACCAACTTTTGTGAAATTTCAATTTGTCTTCATAATTCCTTTTAAAAGAAATTAATTAAAAGCTGTATTATCTTAATATTAATAAAATGATACAAAACATTGAAACAAATTACAACCATTTAGGTATCTTTTTGAAAACAAAATAATACTTTTTCCTTCATTCTGATTTTCTTGAGATTGGCAATAAAAGGTATGTTTTGAACTACAACAAACACAAATGTTCGCTCTGATTTGCCTTCTTGTATCCTTTTCCAATTCGTTTGACTTTGATAATTGGGTATCTAAATTTGATAAACACTTCTCTGCTATCGAGTCATTACGAAGACGAGCCATTTTCGTTCAAAATGCTAGATTCGTTGATGAATTCAACAAACATAACACGTTTAAGCTTGATGTTGATGGACCCTTTGCTGCTCATACTCACGAGGAATATCTCAAAACTTTGAAACGCAGTCATCAAGATTCGGAAGAAGAAGAAGACAATTCAGTCTCAACACAAAAAGAGTCTCTTAAATCCTTCCCAGAAACCTTGGATCTTAGAACACTCGGCAAAGTAACAAAAATTCGAGACCAAAATCCATGTGGTGGGTGTTATTCATTTGGTGCGCTCGCCTCACTTGAAGGGCGATTGTTATTCATAAAAGGTGATCCAAAAACATTGGACTTATCAGAGGAACAGGCCATTCGCTGTTCAGAAAACAATGGATGCAATGGTGGATTTGGGTATAAAGTTTATGATTATATAAAAGAAAATGGTATTGTCCAAGAAAAAGACTATCCTTTCACTGCTACTGATGGTGAATGTAAGGTCGATTTATCAAAGAAGTTTGCGACTGTTTCTGGATACACCAAAGTTGCCAAAAGGAACAATGATGCTCTTAAAAGTGCACTAGTTGATGGTGTCGTTGATGTAGCTATCGACGCATCATCAGTCAAATTCCAATTGTACAAAACTGGTGTTTATCACGACACAAAATGCTCATCAGCAATTAATAGATTGAACCACGAAATTTCAGCAGTTGGATATGGAAATTTGAACGGAGAAGAATATTGGATTGTGAGAAACTCATGGGGAAGAAGCTGGGGAGATAAAGGATATATTCTTATGGCTATTGAAGGAAACACTTGTGGAGTTACTACAGACCCAGTCTATCCAACTGGGGTGAAATACATTTAAACCACTCTTTCATTCATTTTTTCGTTTAGTAAACAAATTTGTCAAAATTACAGATCGAGTATTTACAGGGTGCCATAATTATTTTAAGAAATGAAATGAATTTGGCTCCCATTTTCATATCAATTATTATCAAGAAAAAAAAACAAATAAAAACCAAAAAAATAAAACCCGAATATTTTCTCATCAACCAATTCTTAAGTTTTTGGCACTTATTAAATATACAATCTGTATAATGATAAAGTCTGTCCATCAACCTTATTTATTCTATTAACCTTATTGATCGCCAAAAATAGGTTATTTATTGTTATACAGTTTTGTTTTTTAATTAATTTTGTTTATTAAAAATATTGGTTTTTATTTAATTTTCAAATATTGGTGAAACCCAATTTTTGGACCAATTATATAATAACAATACAGTGCTCATTGGTTTCAAATTGATAATATTTTTTAATAAATTGATTATGTTTTTATATTTATCGACAGTATTTTTTATGGTTTATATTGTATTTAATGAATTATATTACTATTAATGAAATAGATTGTGTTTTTTATAATTTATATTACTTTTAATGAAATAGGCTGTGTTTTTTTATAAATTATATAGCATTTAATGAAAGTGATTATATTTGTAATAAATTATATGGCATTTTTCTAATTTATACAACATTTTTAGTAAAATCAATATTTTTTTTCTAAAATATATAGGATTTTTGATAACTTATATAACTTTTGTTTGAAAATGTTTTGCTTTTTTTTACAAATTATTGGATATTCCCGAATATTAGGAATAAAAATACACATAATAAGCAAGTTATTATTTGTTAAAAATACTTAATATGTAACTATATTTATACTATTATATAACGAAATTTTAATCTATTTTTATTTAGAACCTCTTCACAATGAGGATATTTTTTTTAACATAATTATGTATATTTAAATAACGGGCAAAAAATGATATCATGCAATTGGATTATATCGACAGAAGAGATCCAGGAGCAAGAAACGACTATCATGAAAATGCACCATTATCCATGCAAGGGCAACCTGTACAACCTGTAATGTTGCCCCATCGAGATATCCCACCTCTTCAAAAAAGATCACGGGGTCGGCCCCGAAAATTGGATTCAAAAAAGAAGAAAACAAATACACGACCTTATTCTCGTGTTACAATTGATCAAAGAGATTCTTTGGTTGAACTATGGAGTAAAAATGGTGATAACATGAATGCTTCACGATATTCAGAAATAATTGGGATTAAAAAAATAAACATTGAAAAGTATCTTTCAATGTTAAGAAAAGGGATATCAATATATCCAAAAAATCATTATAGAAGACAAAGCTGTACTTTACCTTTTCAAAAATTGGTAGAAAAAGCTATTAAAGAAGACACAACAACAAAAATAACTTCAATTAGAAAAATGATAGCACAAGAAGAAAAATTACGCGAAGAAGAAGATGTTGATGAAATAATTTTGGATATTCCAAAAATATCCAAGGTTGCTGTTACTAAAGAGGACATTGATCTTTATGCACCTTCGATATCATCAATTGGAAATTTCATGACTGGTAAAACAGCAACAGGTGAAGAGAGAGAAGTCCCTATTTTTTCTTTCAAAAGAACAAAGACAAGAGGGCCAACAAGCAACACGCCAGATAATAAAGAAAAAAGAATTGCAGCAGTAAACGCTCTAAGGGGTTATATAACAGGTGGAGCACGTTGGGTTTGTATAGATGAAACCAGTTGGACTGTAGCATCAACTCCTGCATATGGCTGGTCAGTTAGAGGGAAGGAAGCCTTCATCACAAAATCAAAAGGTGGTCTTCGCCTCACCTCCATATGCGCAGTTGATTGTGACGGACTCTCTTATTGCAATGTGGTTTGTGGAACAAACACATTAAATTCGTTCGAAGACTACTTCCGGTACCTAATTCATGAGTATGATTTAAAACAGAGACAATGCGTTTTTTGGGTGGATAATTGTGATATTCACAACACTATGAGAAGAATGCTAGATAATACAAACCACACTGTCGTATTTAATGCTGCGTACTCACCAGCACTAAACCCAATTGAAAATATATTTGGGATCTGGAAAAGCAGGGTTGAAAAAAATGTGAGAACTTGGAATGGCATCGAAAATTTTCTTGAAAAAATCAGAGATGGTTTTTTAACTATTAAACCAGAAGAGTGCCAAAGTTGTTTTGAAAATGTTAGGGAAATTGTGTGGCCTCGAGTGTACAACCAAGAAAATATTTAATCAAATGTTTTTAAACAATGTATGGTTAATATAGTTCATTTATTAGTCTATTATAATGATATATATAATATATAATATATATAATTATATATTCAATAATAAAATATTTGTAATAATTATTGATAAAGTTATATTATAAATTAATTATTTTTATCATGTATCATAATTGTAAAAATTTGTATTAAAATAAACAATAAAAATAGATTAAAATTTCGTTATATAATAGTATAAATATAGTTACATATTAAGTATTTTTAACAAATAATAACTTGCTTATTATGTGTATTTTTATTCCTAATATTCGGGAATATCCAATAATTTGTAAAAAAAAGCAAAACATTTTCAAACAAAAGTTATATAAGTTATCAAAAATCCTATATATTTTAGAAAAAAAATATTGATTTTACTAAAAATGTTGTATAAATTAGAAAAATGCCATATAATTTATTACAAATATAATCACTTTCATTAAATGCTATATAATTTATAAAAAAACACAGCCTATTTCATTAAAAGTAATATAAATTATAAAAAACACAATCTATTTCATTAATAGTAATATAATTCATTAAATACAATATAAACCATAAAAAATACTGTCGATAAATATAAAAACATAATCAATTTATTAAAAAATATTATCAATTTGAAACCAATGAGCACTGTATTATATTTATCAATAATTTTGAATATGACAATGTCAAGTCAATATGCACCTTTATTTAAATCAAAAAACAAAAAAGAATAAAAAAGAATGTGGTGCGACCTTTTCAGTTTACTTTAGCACTTATAATTTTGAACGACAGAAACAAACACAATCAAAGTACAAATCCAACCCATCGACTCTACAATGACAGAAAATGCCATCCGCGCTCTCTTTAATAAATACTCTCCTATTTCAGATGATAATACACAATAAAAAAGACACTCCATTGAATCACTGTGTTATTACAATGGGAGATAAGGAAGTAGCTGACACCCTTATAAAAGAGAAAAATGATAGTGAGTGGGACGGAGTCAAGATCAAAATATCCATTGAAAGAAAAGATTCATCGGGATCCACAGTGAACTTTTCGTTCAGAGGCCTGGACAAGAGCGAAGATGACGTCAAGAAGTATTTGAAGGGATATAAAGTGAAGAGTGTCAAGAGAGGTATTGCCAAAAAAGGGACGTTGATTGGCTACACTGTCAATGTAGTTCTTAAAAATATGGAGACGGCTAATAAGGTCAAAACAGAGTTCAAAAACAACGAAGAAACAAAGAACTACGGTTTGAAGTTCACTAAAAAGATGGGGGAAGAAGTAGAGCGTTGTTTTATATGTGGAAAATATGGACACTCAAAGAACAATTGCACTGAAAAAGATACAGCAGTGCCACAAGTTTTAAAACATAAAGAAACAAAGGCCGTTTCTCAACTTGAAATATCTGTTTCAGAAGACAAAAAACACAACAAAAATAAAAAAGAAAGCAAAACACAAAGGAGTGAATGAATTGAAGTGGTTTTAAGTGCTTTTTGCGTCTTATTTTCTTATAAAGAATTCATATAAAGAATTGATACAACTAGGTTTAATATGTTCTATTTTACTATTGTTTATAGTAAACATATTATTAAATAATTATACTATTATATCATTAATTGTTTGGTATTTTAATTAATAACTATAGATTCAATTATAATAGTAATTAATTAATAAAAACAACTATTTACTTGTTAAGATGTTAAACAAATCCAATTTACATAACAACACACTCTTTGCGACTGTTTGTTATATCATCTTCAAGTCTCTCAATTTCATATTTCCCAACTTTCTTTCCTTTACCTTTTGCTATCTTTTTCACATCAGCTACAAACTCCCTTTCGCCACGGTTAATGCGAATGTGTTTGTACTCTCCCATTGTGATAGCCGCACAAAACACATTCCACTCTTTCTTCACTTGATATACAATACGACCATTCAACGTGAAAAACACGTTTTTGCTGTCGACAAGAACACCACAACCAACTACAGTGATCGCATCAATGACATTACCATACGTCTTGTTTGTATGCACTATCGCTGAATTATACCCCTGATATATATTACCATCATCACTGTGATATCCTATCGTGTTTTCCATCCATCCCACCATCTGGTCTTTTTCGAATGCAAATACACTGTTTGTGAATAGGCCAATGGCCACAGTAGAAGGGCCTGTCACTTCAACCTCAAAGTATCTAATATTGTAAATGTCCTCCAATTCACCAGATTTGTTTAAGACTCTCATTGGCGAGGCTGTAAAATGAATTGTCATAAAGTCGAACGACACAACTTTGTCTCCAGTCACAAAGTTGGCACTTTTAATTCGTTTTATACACCCATCTTCATCAATTATAATACGCCCATCAATATTAAAAAATCTGTGAGGCACCCAATACACCGATTTTGCAATAGCTTCGTTGTTATTATGTAAATGTACAAAAGGGAATGGAGAGGGAAATTCACAGTATTTGGGTCCTCTGTCTTGTTTACTTGTGATGGTCAACATCTTTAGAAACCATTCAGGAATTTTGTATTGAAAATTAATGGTACCCATCCCTTCAGCTTCATATGAAACAAATGGTTTGAAGTGCTCACCACCAACGAAACTGATTTTATTTGATAACGAAAGAACTACTCGTTCCATAGATAGAAATTCGATTGTAGATACTGATTGACTTTTAATGATATACAAACGGTGGATTGTTGTTGGATGTAAAGAAGAGACTTGCAATGTTTTTACTTTATCATTTTCTGAAGTTACTTGTTTAGTACTTTCAAGTTTGTGGTCAATAAGTACTTCATTTTCTTTGTCAATTTTATCAAGTTTGTCTTCTACGTGTTCTCTAGATGTGACAAGTAAAGGCGTACCACTTTTTGTGTCATTTAGTGTTACATTTTCAATTGCAAATGTGACATCTTTACTTGACACATCCATGTGATTCAACGTGTGAATAAACATCACAGCTTTTGATTTCAAGACGTAAATTTCATCAAATTCAGTGAAGTCGTAATACACTTGAATGGCTGTACAATCAAAAATTGTTATTTTTCTAAAGTATTTTGACTTACTTTGAAAGAAGATATTTCGACACTTTTTCATTGTAATCTTTTCTAAAACAAGTGAGTCATACCACATCAGTGGAAGTCCATTCATTTCATTCCCTTTAAAATTTTTTGTTTGTTTTCCTTTACAATTTATTAGTGTAATTTCTTTTATGTTATTATCAAACAACACCACTGGCTTTTCTAAGCAATTTTTGGCTTTGAATGTCTCAGTCGTGCATTTCTCAATTAATCCAATGAAATCTTTTAAAGGTGGGTTATCACTGATTTTGACAGTTGACTTTATTGGACACATTTTCTCTCTCAATGTGGGCAATGAGTTTCCTGAAAGAGTTCTATAGAAGTACTCTCCATTTTTCATTAACTTTGACATCTTTTCCGATATAATATGTGTGTCAGCTATATATACAATTTCCGTTCTTCCATTTTTAGGTATTAACTGATTTAATTTTGTCAATAACATTTCGTCTTTTTCTTCAAATTTGTCATAAATAACAACTTTCCGTGGAAGACTGAGAAACCGGTCGTTCTCGTCACCTATGTACTTCACAAAAAAGTCGACAATATGCGCCAAGTTACCACAAAGATATTCTAGACGTGTAAATAGTCTGACGTGGTTTAATTCAAAACGTTCATTTGTTGTTGATAAATTCAGTCGAGTGATTTTGCAGAAGTATTCCTTGGCAAATTTATCAGTAATCATTTTGTTTACAAACAGTTGGTAAAAATCAACATTAATATACTGCTTGATATTTTTAAATGAAAACGCTTTACTAAAAAAACCAAAACCAAAATCGACGGTGTCTGGTGTGAAATGATAAAGAAACCAATACATTAATCGTTCATTGTTTGTACGTGGTGTAATTTTAAGTGCTTTGAATGCTGATAATGTAGTTTTACTCACTAAAAGAAGAGATTTCATATCTACTAAATAATGAAGTTCTAAAATAACACGCATTAGATATACCATTTCTAGGCGTTTAAACGAAAGTGTTGTGGACATAGAAAACTGGTTATAGTATTTATAAATAGTTTCTATTTTTTATTTTAAAAAATCAAATTCGGGATTCTATTTTTTGTGGATATCAAATTAAAAAAATAACGTATATTATGAATTCTGTCACTTAATTTCGAAACAATTGTTGTTTATTTGTTGTTTTTACTGTTATTATTTATAAATTAATATACTGACTGTATCATTAATTGTGACGATTTGTGCATTTTTTTGTGTTTACAGAAAATGATATGTTTTTGTTGTTTGATTTTTAAAATAAAAAAAAATAAACATTTTTGACATTAAAAAACAAAATCTTACAGAATACAAGTTGTTTAAAAAACGGGAACTCAAATTTATTAAATATATTTTACCTTTTTTAAATAGTTTATTAAGTGTATAACAATACACAAGCCAAAAAGGGAAAAACACCAAAAACTTCTAAATGTCCTTTCAAAATAAGGTCAATCAAAAAAGACGTATTTCAAATGTTATTGTTAACAAGTATAAATAATTATAATTCATTAAGTAATATTATAATTTTATATTTTTAACTTCGAATTATAATTGTAATTACATTATTTTTTTTATTTAAACTATATGAATTAATACCAACAAATAGGCGAGTTTAACAATAAAAATTATAATTATTGTGTCTATTTTTTATTTATCGAGGAGCAACTAATAACATTATGATATTTATTAAATTAAAAAACGAATGTATTTAACCAAAAGGTATACAAAATATAACAATTATATATAATAAATTTTATTTTAATACACCTTATTACAAATGACACAATGTATAATTTTAGTGTATAATATGAAAATAAACAATTTAAAATTTATATTTATCATTATATATAAAAATAAATTAATACACTATTCGAATAAAAAGTTTGAAAACTTTCGTTTAATTAAACTTGATGATGATATGACGATCGAAGCATTCTTTTCCAATGTAAGTAACACATTTAGGTATATTTAAAGTACTAATTGAAACGCACATTTGAAAACAAAAGTCTCCAATTGAAAGAAGTGTTTTGGGAATGTTGAGTATACCAAGTGAAACACAATTGTCAAAACAATTGTAACCAAGTGAAGTCAGTGTGGTTGACAACACAACTTTTTTAAGAGAATTACAACTCGTGAAACAATGATTTCCAATTGTCTTTACATCGTTATTTAACACAATATCAACAAGGGATGTACAATTGTAAAAACAATAGTCTCCAATTTCAACTAATTTATAAGGAATATCCATTTTACTTAATTTGTAACAATTTGCAAAACACCAATTGCTAATCATCGATACACTTTGTGGAACAACAATGTCACAAAGTAAATTACATTCTTCAAAGACTCCACTTTCCAATGTTTGCATTCCAAATTCATTCTCACGACAATTTGTATCAAATACTATTTTTGTGAGTGATGTACACAACTTAAAACAAAAGCTTCCAGTGGTTGTAACATTCTTGGGAACAACAAAATGTTCGAGCGAATCACAACTTTAAAACA